TCCGCCAGATAGTATCATGTATGGCTAAAAAATCGAGAAATAATAGGCGTAAGACCACAGGTAAGTATACTACTAATCCCACACAGTATTTGCTATTATGCAATCCGACCAAGTATGACCACATATATGATAGGATAACTGGCCTTATCACTGACAAGAATATAAGACAGGATAGGATTGTAGGCGTGTTTGATTATTCTGAATATCTGGCAGTCCAGAGCAGTGATCATCAGCTTGGAAGAATTTGCTGAGCCACAGATTGTGCGACATATTAATTTTTGCATATATATATTCGCTAACCAGTACCTCTATTTTTTTCCCAAACAAATGTGAGAAAATGTAAAGGGAGCTATAGTTGCAATACAGGACCAGCTCTAAAAGTAAATAGTGCCGACAAAAGCATATGTTAAGAAAGGCTGGCGGACTCGCAATTCTGAGATCAGCAGGCGTAAAACCAACTATATGTCTTTCCGGTAGATCTACATGTGAAAAGGTATGAGGATTCCATTTGCATGTGCTTTCATAGAGCTCTTGGCATCAGACGACAATACTAATTACGCCTTATAGCTCCTTATCTTCAGCTTGGCGCTCTTTTTCCCAGCAAGATATAAAGCATGTAGAGGTATGTGGAAGTTCAGCCAACCTCCCCGCAAAAATTTAAGGTATGTATGTGCTAGAAGTTGTGTATGTATAGTGCAAGAGCGAGTCTTTTCTCACTATGGGCTTTGTAAATAGGAATCAAGATGTCTTCCGGCGAAGATAATATAATTCTTCATTGTCTTATTATTCCTTGTGGCCAACTTCATGCTCTTCCACACGATCAAGTCGTGCAAGTAGTTACAGTTGGTAGGAGTCAAGCAGTCAGTGTACTTGAAGCTACAATTCAAAGCAGATTAGGGGCACCCTTTAATAATATTCGCCTAAAAATTCGTCAAGTTTATCCCAGAGAGGCGCTCATGCAACCGCAGGATTTGATTTCCACTTTTTTTGATGAACAACCTTGAGAAGACTATTTCCATGTCGTCGCTCAACCCCTCTTAGGATCAGAATAATTTCTTATATCATGTATTAGCGATATATTCGCAATTTTATGTATTGTAGGCCGGGCTCCGGCAACCTTTTATTTCATAAATAAAGTATTATTCTTGTACTGTACATGAGAAATGGGAGGACTGATTTATCAGTCTGTCACGTGGAATGATGCAATGCCTGTACGACTTAAAAACCTATATTAATGGCCAGTATTCTCTTTCCCGAACAGAAATAAATTTTTATCTTACTCCAGAAAGTAACACTATTTTTTGTCCGAGCCTAATATCCCTATAAAAACACTATGTCTGAAACTAGTACACCTTATACTCCAGCTTCCACCTCTACTACTGTTGCTGGAAATGAGACGGTCTCGTTGGCGGACAAAATTAAAAAATATAATACGGCCAAGCTTATAGATTTCTTGCGTAAGGAGAAGGACTTGGGACTTAGTGAGAAGGCTCTCAAAATTTTAGAAAATGAAGAAGTTGACGGTCGTGCCTTCCTCAAAATGACTGAGCAGAAGTTCAGAGATTGTGGGCTAAAAGTAGGGCCAGCAGTAAAGCTTGCTGACTTCGCCAAGAAGTGTAAGGAGAAAAAACTGAAGGCCTTCTCCCTGTACAAGAGTTTGAAGGAGGTGTTGAAGAAATATGGCATTGACTCCAACGGTACGGACACCATCCCACTATTTTCTCTACAAACCCACGAAATTAAAGACTCCAATAAGCACTTCGAGCATTGTATGGCGGAAATTTTAGTTAGGCTAAAAAATTACGGGTCTTTGGTCGTGGATAGTTTGAAAGCTATGCGCAATGAGTACGTCGTGGCAATTCTTCATACCGCAATCAATATTACAAGAGATTCTACAGGGGAGGAACTCAGCATGAGACCTGAGTACGAGGTAATTGGTGATGATAGTACAGGACGGGTCGACTTCGCAATCAAGGTATTATGATAATTTTTTTCCAGGACCTGAGGTATTTTTCGAAGATATACTAATACCATACTTGTGTTTCAGAAAGCTGAGAATCTTATTTGTATCACTGAGGACAAACCAGAGCGAAATCTAATCGAGGGTTTGGCTCAGAATATCAAACAACTAGAGAGCTCATGCCAAATGAATTTGAAAAAACGGAAGCAGAATGATGATGCCGATTTCGATTATCTCTATGGTATTGTCACTACAGCTCGGGACTGGCACTTTCTGCTGTACACTCCAGGGAAGATTTCACAAGGCAGTAAATTACCATTTAGCATTGTATTTTCCGAAGACGCCTTGGACAAAGAGTCTGTGGAGTATCGAACGTTATGTGATGACGTAAAAAAAGTGTTAGGCGTAGTAGTGGGTTTATTAAAGGATAGGGCATGTGCGGAAGACGATCCTCCCTCAAAGAAAAAAGCTAGAATAGAGAAATATCGTTCGAAAAAATAATTGTATAGGACACTAGCATAGAAACTTCGTCATGTATCACGGGCTACGTCCCGAACTTTGTATTTATTTTTTGCATATATTAATAAAAAATTTTCTTGGCAAATTTGCGGTCTCGGAAAATCACATGATATTTTTTTTTATTTTGAATACTTATATACAGTGTATTAGTTATACATATAGATCATGTCATCTGAGCTTGAAGTATTGAAACAGCGCATCACTGAGCTTGAGGCTGAAAATGTTGAGATTGCAGAGCTCAGGAAGGAGAATGCAGAGCTTAGAAAGGAGAATACTGATTTCAGAATGAAGTTCGCTAACTTTGAGTCTGAGAGAGCTGAACTTAAATGCAGGATTGCCGAGACTCTAAGAATGACTGAGGAAGAGAGAACGAGGCGTAATGCTGAAAATGTCAAACTCAGGGTCACAATCGAGGAGTTGAAATCTGAGAATATTGAAGTCAGAGATAGACTCACGAAAGTGGAATAGAACCAGTTGCTAAATGATAATTCTTCCAACAACAGTTCACCTAGCTTTGTTGCAGTACCAGAGGTGATAACGGTACCTACCAACTCTGCAAAGCATCTTAACGGGAAATCGTTGGAAGTGAAAGATATGGATAATTTCTTGCTTGAGGCTCATAAGAAAATCGTTAGTAGTGAAATAAAGTAACACAATAAAGAGAAGAAACTTCTATGTGAGTCAGTTAAAAATCAAGTCCTGGCTGTTACTTCTATAGATTCGAAATTATCACGTGACAAAAAAACCGTTACCAATGGTAACGATCAAGATTTGAAATTATCACTTAATACAGGCGATAATATCTCTGCTCCATCATCCATTGAGGACAACTTATCATGCAATACGAAAATGATCACTTGTACCGATAGCGATGATGCCCCATCTGATGAAATGTCTGGGCCGATTGCTATACAACCATTTGATAGAAATCAAATCACTGAGCAAACTTTGAAGCATGAACTTTCTAGGCCTATTTCTTCAGTGGGATCAGTTAAACTACATGATGAGTCCATCTTAAACAATGCAATTGAGGGCTCTACGCAGAGATTAGCTTATTGGATTGATGAGGCTATGAAAATGGGGCTAAAAGAAATCTTATGCTTGTATCATTATTCCTTTGAATTCGAAGAAAAAGTAAAAAATATTACAGCTAATGGCAAGACTAAAGATAAGACAGCAAGATCGATAATATACAAAGAAATGTTGCAGTATTTACCTAATGTCACTCTGGGTAATTTGCGAATCCGAACACATAGAGCTAAAAATATTCTTATGCTATTTGGAGAAAAAGGGGTTGGAATCAATAGAATTAGGTTAGTTACTTGTAGCGCAAGTGATATTTCTAGATTAAACAATACTCAAATTTAAAACATTATAGATTATATGAATGATCGGGTTCATGTAATTTCAAAAACCGTTACCAATGGTAATGATCAGAGTCATATGACTTCAGCAGAAACGATTTCATTAGTTACACCTCAAACAAGTAGGACTAGTCTAACCTATGACCGTGCCTATTTTTGCGACAAAGCATTGGATCAATATCCTAATTTATATAAAGAATTTAGTAGTGAAAATTTCGATTATTATGGAATTACTGATGAGACTTCATGTCCATTATGCAAGTTAGATCATGATGATGAGGAGGGTATAGAAGGTAGATATGAAACAAGATCCTATTTTATTAAATGTGAACAGCGTGAAATTGAGATAGTTGCATAGGCCCATTGCTCTTTCTTATACAGATACTTCGAAAGATGGCCTAACTATTTCTTGGAAATATGGTAAGAAATATTAGTAAGATTTCTATCTAGGAATTTAATCTTTTTTTCAAATGAATATGAGAATAAAAGTGATTTAAATTGATTTGCAATCATAGAAAAAGGCAACATGAGCAAGTCCAATAAAGTATTAACTCCCGAGTATCTGGATTGGCATGGCAAATTAAGTGGATTACCAAGCATTTTGACAGATAAGATTCGTTCCAATTTATACAAAAGATATAAAAAAGAAACTGGAAATGAGCCATGGCAATTATCA